GACTCTCCAATATGTGAATACATTCTCTACAAACTATTTTATACTCAAAAATAATGCTTATTTCTTCTTAGATATGAAAATTAGAACAAAAAGAGACCACTGTATAGCTGACTTTATAAAAACAAGTTAGAAAAAGAGCAATTCTTCCATCATCTCATTGTCACCACCAGAAGTGAAACTTTCTCATCCAGAGGAGCCCACATACCCATAACTAAAGATAAATATAAATGGTAGTGTCTCAGTATGTCCCAGTTCAATTAAACAAAAATATTTGGAGAAAAATATTATATTGGAAACCAAGGCCAAGGTGGGAATTAATAGGGAAATGGTCTGTACCATCACCAAATTGTCAAACATAATTACAGAAACAATAAAGGCAGAAGTCAAGTTCTGTGAAACAACATTGTATTAAGCAGCTGGCCTTGGAGAGAACAGAGCCCAGCATATACTATAACACCACCCAAGACAATAGGCAATCTTAAGCAACTAAAACCATTTTTTTCCCCTGATTCTAATGAACTGAAATGATGATGCTTCTGTTTTTAAGCATATGTCCTCCAGAGCATACATACTATAAAATAATAGCACAGGACCTTTCAATATTTTAGTGAAGACTACCACCCTTGACAACATGAAGCATCTAAATCACATGCTCCTTAGCAATGAGACAAGGGGCCAGATAGGATTTCCAGTGAAAGTAAGGTTTAAACCTTTCAAACCTTCAATGACAAAAAGCTAAGCAGAAAAACACCTGGCAGCTATTCCAGGAAAAGGGAACTCTTAAGTACTAAAGCTCTGTAGTAGGAAAGAGCGTAGCATTTGAAGTGTATAAAGAATGCCAGCGTGGTTGCTGTGTAAAAAATATTCTTCCGAGTCTATGTCTTAGAATTCTTACTGGAGGCTGTATGTACACGTTTATTGCAGCATTCTAGATAATAGCAAATTAAAAATGGAACAACCTAAGTAATCATCAATAGGTATGTGTATAAAATTAATAAAATCTGCATGATGAGAAAAAGGAGACCTATCTATGTTGATAAAGATATCCATAATGTATTTTTGAGTCAATGTACAGAATACTATTTATGGCAAAACCATATTTTTTTGCTGTACATAATTGCACATTATTTACTGGCTATGCACCAAATAAAGGCCTGGTTAAAAATTATGTATGTCTAAAATTTTGTTGTTTTTTTTTTTTTTTTTAGTCTTTGTTGCCCTTGGTAGAATGGCATGGCATCATAGCTCACATCAACCTCAAACTCGTGGGCTCAAGTGATCCCTTGCCTCAGCCTCCCAAATTACTGGAGCTATAGGCACCCACCATAATGCCTGGCTATTTTTAGAGACTAGGTCTCGCTCTAGCTCAGCCTGGTCTTAAACTCCTGAGCTCAAACAATCCACCTGCCTCGGCCTCCCAGAATGCTGGATTACAAGTGTGAACCACCCTGCACCTGCCCTATATATCAGAATGTTAAGAGAAGTTTGCCCTAGAAGGTTGACATGAGAGAGATGACGTTTTTATTTTTTGTAAAATTTCTGCAATGTTAAAAAATTTTAAGGAGTCTTATTCCTGTAATACTTTAAAACACTAGTTTTTACAAAGTTATTAAAAACTTCTATTCACGAACCCAGAAATACTGCACATTATAAGCCTAGGTAGCTGTGAGAAAATTGTCTGATAACTTGGAATTTACTTGAAGAAAAATGAATCCACCTTCTGTTAAGTCTTTATGTAAAAGTACTCTCACTATGGAATATTTTTAATATTAATGCAAAGGTAGCCATAAATAAATCAAATAAACAAACAATAAAGCTACAATATTGAGCTGGTGAATTTGTTTATGCTGCAGGTACATTTGAGGAAAACTTTATTTCTGCTATAACCTAATTTGTAAGCTTGGATTTAGAAAATTTCCTAAATTTGAAATCAATCACATTTAAAACAATTGCTTCCTTGCAAAGACTTTTCCACTTTTTCACTCAATCTTTAATTCAATTATTTAATCTCTGTGATAGTCCATACCCTAAGGCAGTGTTTTTCAATCCTTTTTATCTCACAGGACACTTGAACCTATAGTTAAACTTCCAAGGCACACTTAAATTATGTTGATCAAAAGAGTAAAAAATATATATATGCTGTGTTTTAAACTTCTTCCGAAAATAATTAATGATCTTTAAAAATTTTTGTGACACACCTAAGATTGCTGTGGCACACCAGCTGAAAAATCACTGCCCTTGAAGATAGACAGTAATATTAAATTAGCTTTTATTGCTCACTCACTCTATTCCAGGCATTGTTCTAAGTCTTTTATATGATTCAATAGCCAACAACCCAATAGGCATGTGAGGTAGCTTATATTATCACCTCTACTTCAGAGATCAAAAAATTGAGGCAATCAGAATAAGCTACTTGCCCAGGATTGTACAACTTATAGGTCATTGATTTAAGATACAAACCTGTGTACTGCATGTCTTGACCTTAAGATTTTACTGAAATTTACTATTCTTTGGTTTACAGTGATTAACAAACCAAAATGTCTCAGTGAATTTACAGCCTAGTAGGAAATATAAGCAACAAGTAATTTATACTGTAGTCAAAACAGATATTTATCCCAGTAGATCATAGAGTACATGAAGATTACATTCAAGACTCCACAATTCAGTACCTTACATCCAGTATCTGAAACCATTTGGCACAATAAATGCTGAGTGAATGAGAGAGAAGCACAGAGTACAGGCAAAGCTATAACAATGTTGCTTAACCTAGATGGAAGTCAAGTAAGCTTTGCTGGAGTGGTAAGATTGAGAACTGAGGGTTTAAGTAGGATTTAGCCAAACAAAGTCTTCCAGGTAGTGAACAGCTTGTTTAAAAAAAAACTGTATCTCTCCTATGTGAACCATCTGCAAAAACAAAAACAAAAAACAAAAAAACAATTTTGCATGCCTCAGGAACGGAAGAATGAATAAACTCCTTAAAAAATGTAAATAAACTCAGGATGGATGCATTTATAAGGTGAGGATGTGGTGAGCTGAGGCTAAAAAGGTAAATGGAATACTCATAATCTTGTGTGTCTTTTTAGGAAATATAAACTAAATCTCAAGAGGAGTGATATTCTAACTGAAAGGTTTTAAGTATGGAACTGACACATCAAATATGTCTAGGAAGATCACTTTGATGGCAAAATCAAAAAATTAAATTAGGTGCCTCAGTTGAACTTTCTAGGTAAGCCCAGTAAACAAATCAGGAAAAGAAAAAAACAGAAGCTGGTTAGGAAGCTACTGCCAGTTGCTAAGCAAGAAATAATAATGGCTTAAACTAGGACAATGGCAGTGGGGATGAAGCAGAGTAACTGAAAAGCTTTTTAGGAAGTAGAATCAGAAGTAGCAAAGGGAAGAAGAAAAGTCAAAAGTTATGGCTCAAGTTCCTAGCTTCAACTGCTGGGGTTAGTGGTACTGTCATTATATTCACTAGAATATGAAGAAGAGGCAAGTTTTTAAGAAAGGAAGACGAGGTTTTAACATTTAGAGTTGAGTTGCCTGAGGGGCATTTCCAGGAATGCTTTCTAGGACACAAATGAAAACATTTAAATGTGAAGTACAGAGATTAGGTTTACACATATGAATTTTAGAATCAGCATAGAGCTAACAAGTGAAAGAGAAACAGTGAGATCAGTAAGCTATTTTGTTGAGTGTATCCAGCATCTTTCTTTTCCATATTGATGGAACCCAACAATTACTAGTGTTGAGAGCTTGTTCAGAATAAATTACCTGATAAACGATCCACTGTAAAGTCATCAGATATGTATGGTGAGAGCTTCTCAGGTGTCAGTCTTCCAAGTGCAGCAAAATACCAAGAATTACCCAGGAAAACTTATTTTATTTGCAAACCTCAAAGACTGCTTGAACCCAGGACTTTCAGCTGGCTGTCCTCACTACACTCTAGCTTGGAGCAACCAAGTAAAACTGTCTCAAAAAAAAAGAAAGAAAAAAAGCACTAAACAATCCAAAGCCAAAGTATTTAAGGGGAACTTGCTTAAGTTTTCATATTCTGAAATGAAATCTTAAAGTTGTAAAAATGTTGAAAAAAAGATATGAAAAAATAAACCTTGTGAAGTCTCTAAATATCAACACATATGATTGTAGACTTTAAGTCTGGAAAACTGATTTTTTTTCCACATTTCAACAGTTTCCTGTCCAATAGAAAATTTAAATGGCTTTTAAACATTTCATGAGGCTAATATTTCCAAACAAACCATTTTTTATAAACCAGTCACAAATAAATTTCATGTCAACTCCCCATTTTATAAATTTGTCAGTAATGAATTTTCCAAGATATCATCAGTGTACATCATCTTTAGAGCATAAAACATTTAAAGAATCTGAAAATTATCTAAAGAATTTTAAAGTATTAGACTATGGTACTGATTTACTTTGTAACTTTGATAAAATGATAATGGATAAATCACCTCAGTTCTCAGACTATTAATGAAGGAATTAAATTGAAGATAATTAGAAATACCTTTATCTGAACCAATGCAATGTTTTATCTGAACCGTAAAAGTGTACTTGATAGCCACTGCTTTGATTCCACTATTTTATGCAGGTAAGTTTAGTGCCTTTATTAAAAAAGTTACAAATAAAATCTTCATACAGGGCTGGCCTGTGGCTCAAAGGAGTAGGGCGCTAGCCCCATATGCCAGAGGTGGTAGGTTAAAACCCAGCCCCGGCCAAAACCTGCAAAAAAAAAAAAAAAAAACTTCATACAATTAGGGCAGTCTAAAAAGGGCTCTGTACTTAGTATTTTCCAACTTCCTACTGCAGCAAATGGATCAGAACCTTAATATAATGCAAAGGTAACACTTCCCAATTTTTTGCCGCCCTCCCCTCCATCTTCTTCATACACCTGCAAAACAGGATCAAACTCCAAGGAACCATCTCATTAAGATGATATGACTCCCACTAATTACAAAAAAACAAGATACGTTATGAGATCAAAATTAGCTGCTTTTATTATGTTAGAAACAACTTTATGAAATGATTTACATCTCTACATTTGGGAAATTGCTTTGAATAGCTCAAAAAATAGCTATTGCATGGAAAAACATATGCATACTAGCTTTACTACTTTTAAACTGGGTTCTTTCTTCTTTTCTCAGATGGCATCACTACAGCAACAGCAGCTTCTGGCAAACAGAGAAACAATAACAAAGTCCTACAGTGATGCTATGATTGACAGAACTACGCATTCCACCAATCCTATCCTACTTCTTGTGGATGAACATCTAACAAAATGAAATTATTTTGCTGAAAACAAAATTAAAATCAAATGAGATAATTCAACTGAGTATCTAACAGTAAAGGCAATGGAAACTACAGCAAACTCGTAATATCCAGCCCAAATGATGTAGCCAAGGTTCTTCTAAGGGTGACCAGGCTAAGGACTGCATAAATCGTACAGTGTAACTACTGTACAATTAAGTATAAAAACTCCTCACTTCTCTAGGAGTGATTCTAGCTCCTCTTGCAAAGAGCTGAGCTGCTCCTTTTCTCGATCTTCCTTTTGTTTGAGCTCATCTAGCACAGCCTGAAATCTGTTCTTGAGAGCCAGATTTTCCACTTTCATGATGAGATCCTCCTGTCGTTTTGCCCTGTCCTGGGTCTCTTGGAGCTTGCCTTTCACGTTGTCAATCTGTTTCTGAATCCCCATAACCAGCTGACTGGTTCCTTCACTTTCTTGGTGATGTTCATCTGATTCATTCAGCTTGTCCTGTAGCTGTCTTTCCAGATCTTCCTCAGTGTCAATGATGTTTATATCTTCTTCATCTTGATGCTGTGTCTCATCTTCATCTTCGCTGCTACTGCTGAGGTCATTGAATATCTCCCGCAGCTCATCATGTTCTAATGAGTCATGGCCCTGCCTGTGACCAGACATTCCTGGAGAAGAGATATCAAGGCCTTGATTTTCTGTTTCTTTTGTTTCATCTTCAGCAATTATTTCCCACCGAGTACTGACAGCTTCAGCATCTGTACTCAGCAACCGTTTCACTTCTTTTTCCACATCTGGAGATTCAATATATTTCTTTTTTGCAGTCTTCCGGAATCTTCTTTTTCTGACATTTTTTAAAGGCAGAGTAATACCATGGTTCCAGACAAACTTTTTCTCTTTATCCTTATCCTTTTTCTTACTTGCCTTTGGATCAGCACTGGCAACTGGTTCCTCCACAGGAGGATACAGATCACCATCAACTGAGCACACAAGCATCTGACAGACATCCGCTGTCTTGTAAAAGGTTTTCTTATCAATGGTTTTCAAACTTTCCATAACACAGGGCAGATCTACCAATTTTGAGGCCAATGGAACTCGGTCCACTCTGACGATTCCATGACGTCCATCAGGATGTAATTCAATTGTCAGTCTGTCCTTTAGGTTGACATGACCAGACTGCACTGCCCTCCTCACAGTAGAGGCATATTCTGGAGGTAGGCGTAAGATAAACTGGCTCTCTAGTTCATGAGGAGCATCATCTTTGCTCTTACTCATCTTAACTTCTTTGTGACTCAGTTCTCCTCTATTAAACACCTGTTGCACTAAAAAGTTCCAGCTACTGCAACAGTTCAAAAGATCAGCTTGTTATAAATTGAAATTTCTAATTACAAGGAGTTCCAAATAGAACACAGAGAAGAGTCTATATTGTCTTAATTTTGAATTAAGTCCCAAGTCTTTTCGCTAAATATGCTGTGACTAAATACAGCCTTAACGGACACAAAGGCTCAGTTACGTTCGTTAAATCTATGAGATGCAATGCCAAGTTCCAACCTCTAGGTGCCGCTGCCAGACAACGCAGAGAGAACTAGCTAGAGCGCAGGAAAGCAAATGGCGGCTCCCGCCGAACGATTTTCAGCACAGAACGTAAGGCCCGGCAGACACTCCCAATCCACAAACTTTCCCGGAACAAAGTTATTCAGAAAGCGGGGCGCAGTGAGCTCTCTTCGCCTCCGGTACTTACAATCCAGTGATGATTATAAAGTCTGCTTCCCCAAGGCGGCGAGAACGGTAGAAGCAGCCGCTCGCAGCAAAGCGGCAGGGCGCCGAACGTCTCCTTTTCGATTCTTTTGTTCTCCCTGCAGCTTGGCAAAGTGATCCACTACTGATTAGCAATGAAAAGACTCAGAATGGGCACCGCGAAAACTCGCTGAAACCCGCAGCTCTGAGCGCCAAACGGAGAAACCCAAGCAGCCTCCGTGCGGAGCCGCAAACTCCACACAAATGGAAGCGGTACGTCACGACGCTGGGCGGGAGATGGCTGTGAGTGACAGCACGACCTAGGCGGAAGTACGTGTCAGCGCAGCGTGCGCACGCGCAATAGCGCAATTTCGCTGCCTCTCCCCGCCTCCCCCCCGCCCGCGAGACTCGTATTCTCGCGAGAATTTCTTTTTCCCGGACGAAAATGAGAATGTTTCATAAAGAGCTATTGATTTGAAAATGTTTAGAGGTGACAATTGCAAAAAAGACATAAGCCCGGTCCTCGCTAAGCAACCATTTTTATTGGATCGCCGTGGAGCTGGATAGCTTCTGGGCTTCTGTGTGATTACCGGAGATAAGGGAGTCCTGGCAGTAAGCCTCTTTGATTCGGGAAACTTCTCGGATGCTCCTCGGGGTATATAAAATTTGATGCTAATACACGAATTTGTAATTAACCATAACAGTACCTTTTACTGAACCCAAAACAATAGAGTGAGGAGGACATGCCACCCATTATGTACTTCAACATCTGTATTTTGTTAATTATGAAAATAGTAGGGGAATGGTGCTTCTGGGTTTGTTTCCTTTTCGGAAGACCCGTAAGCCTTAGGGGTTCTCAACCTAAGGGTGGAACGACTTTCACAAGGGTAGCCTAATATCAGATATTTACATTACGATTCATAACAGTAGCAACAAAAATAATTTTATGGTTGGGGGTCACCACAACATGAGGAACTGTATTAAAGGGTCGCGGCATTAGGAAGGTTGAGGGAACAAGAGGTGATTCCTCTTTTTAATGTGCTTTACCTAGATGTAAATGTAAACAGAAATAATGTTCTTCTGGAAGCAAAGTTCATCTTGGACATAACTGTCTCATAAACTGTTGGTCTGATTAAAGTAGAATGTAAGTGAAGTATTATTTCCTACTTTTTAAATTACTTTGGAATTTTTTTTTTCTCTCCACCGCTACTATTTTGCTGTTTTCTGCTTGTTTCTTCTATGGAAAGTCAGGTATTAATCAACACATACTTTCAGTATTTCAATGTAACTGTGCAACACTTTCTACTTCCATTTATTTTTTTGATGGATCTGTTCAATAGAGCATCAAAGTCATTCAAAATTTAATTTCTGGCCAGGAGTAGTGGCTCACGCCTGTGATCCTAGCACTCTGGGAGGCCTAGGCAGATGGATTGCTTGAGTTCAGGAGTTGGGGACCAGCCTGAGAAAGAGCGAGACCCAGTCTCTCCTAGCCTGGGTTGTGGCAGGCGCCTATAGTCTCAACTACTTAGGAAGCTGAGGATGTCTTGAGCCTAAGAGTTTGTGGTTGCTTTGAGTTACAAAGCCAGGGCACTCTACCTAGGGCGACAGAGTGAGACTCTGTCTAAATAAATAAATAAATTTTCTGTCCTCTAAAATATTATAATTGCCCCTAAATCTGAGAGAACATTCTTAAAATACAACTAACTTTACAAAATGTACTTTATTGTTTTGACTGAAAGCGCCATGATAGTGAATTTTTTCTATTTTGCTCATCGTGTCCCAGTGCCTAGCACCAGAACATGGGAGCAATGTAAAAAATATTTCCTAACTGAATGAAACAAATTGATATATCTTAGAAAGACATATAGTCTAAATCCTATAATTTGTGAGAGAAAATACACTCTCTGTTGCCTTAAATGAGATAGTGCCAATTTATATGCATTTCCTCCCTAGTCAAAGACCATGCTAGTGATGAAGTGGAGAGATTTACTAATATTGTGTGTGAGAGTGTGGTTATTGCGTGTGAGTGTGGTTTATGTAGACTGATATTGTATTATAAGGGGAAATTAAATAGCCTGACACCGGTTTGATTTTTTATTTAATTTTAAAACTGAAATGATGCCCTTCCAAGCTGGGCACCATAGCTCACCAGTCCTGCCAACCAAGACTGCCGACAATTAGAACCTTGCCTGATTAAGGGGGGAAAAAAGAAGAAGAAAAACACAGGTCATACCAGGTGTAGTGGCTTAGGCCTGTAACCTGCCACTCTGGGAGGCCCAGGCAGGTGGACTGCTTGAGCTCAGGGGTTTGAGACCAGCCTGAGCAAGAGAGACTGTCACTACTAAAAATAGAAAAACTAGCTGGGGATTGTGGTAGCTGCCTGTAGTCCCAGCTAGTTGGAGGCTGAGGCAAGAGGATAGCTTTAGCCTAGGGGTTTGAGGCTGCTGTGGGTTGTGACACCATGGCACTCCACCCAGGGTGACTAAGATTCTATCTCAAAAAAAAAAATTATGCCCTTCTAGATAACTGTGCATTATTTCTCTTTTCTTTATAACATGTTGAAGAATGTTAGCTTATTTATCTGTACTTTTCAGATGACCTATTTCCTTTTTTCAAAGGTGAAATTTTTCCATTTGTCCTTTGATTATACTTGATTTTACTTATTTTATAGATAAACAATTTAACTTGCTAACCTCTACATAGTACTTTATTTATGCC